ACGGCGCCAAGCGCGACGGCACCCTGGCCCTGGCCGCCGGCGCGCTCTGCCGCGAGGCGCGCGGCGCGCAAGTCTTCTTGCTCAAAGGTACGCCCTCGGGGATGCCCAGCGGCGGGCCGCACGCCCCCTACCGCTTTGCCCCGGGACCCCAGTTTCCCAGCTCCTGGCGGAGCTGCCCCACCTGGAGCGCTTGGGCGCCTAAGTCGCATTGTGGGGACTTGCTGGCTTTGTTTGGCTGTAGGAACAAAGACTCGCCTGGGCCTCTCCGGGGTAAACTTCCAGACGTGGTGGATGGGGAAGTTGTATCAAGGTGCCCTGTCTCGGCGGTACTAATGGAAAAAAATGTCTCTTTGTATTCCCAGGAGGATATGAAGCTTTTTCGGCTTCCTGCCCGGAGCTGTGCAGCAAACAGTCGACCCCCATGGGGCTCAGCCTTCCCTTGAGTACCAGTGTCCCTGACAGCGCTGAATCGGGGTGCAGTTCCTGCAGCACCCCACTCTATGATCAGGTTAGTAGGGGGCCCCGCCAGAGGGGAGAAGGAAAAGCTGGCAAAAGTGGAAGAGCAGCGCTAGTGAGGATGTAGAAAGTGACTTGCAGCTTTATTTATAACAGGGGACACAGGGATATTATTTACCCCGTCGTTAAGCCATACCATGGAGCTGAACCTCTAACTGTTGGCACTATAGAAATGAACTTGTTAATGGGTTTAATGGGCAAATGGGTTTAATCCCCTAATTTATTTATACTCCAACAACAGTGCTGAAAAGTTCACCCAATATTGAAACTGACTTTTCCGGCAGGGCGTCATTGTGGGTGTGGGCACCAGCATTGATACTGAACAAAGCTTGACAAGTGTTGGCTATTTCTGGATTTCAGGGTGGCCCAGTGGAGATCCTGCCCTTCCTGTACCTGGGCAGTGCCTATCATGCCTCCCGCAAGGACATGCTGGACGCCTTGGGCATCACTGCCTTGATCAACGTCTCGGCCAACTGTCCCAACCATTTTGAGGGTCACTACCAGTACAAGAGCATCCCTGTGGAGGACAACCACAAAGCGGACATCAGCTCCTGGTTCAACGAGGCCATCGACTTCATAGGTAAATGGAACGGATGCCTGGGACTCCTGCCTCACTCCCTCTGTTTTAGCCACTGAGCCTAAAGTCTTGTGACTTGAGTGACATTCTTTTACAGCTTTCCTGTAGACATTAATATCAGCCTGGTGTGGGTAGCATCAGTATAGATTTGATGTCCCACTTTACATACTAGCAAGCCACATCTTAGAATGTTGCATTGATTTGTCCAACATTGATCTTAGTGGGGATGCCTGATCCGGGTTTAAATCCCCAGCTGTTCTTTGCACGGTGGCCACGTTGCCTCCACAGTATCTATGTGATGGCATGAGGTGACACTGACCATCTCTGGACAGGACACACATGGCATTTCTTAAGACACCCTGTGCCTGGGGTTGGGGTCGTTCTCCTGGACTCTCGAGTAACCAGCTGCCCTTTGTTTCCCAGACTCCATCAAGAATGCCGGTGGAAGGGTATTTGTCCACTGCCAGGCAGGCATTTCCCGATCAGCCACCATCTGCCTTGCGTACCTCATGAGGACTAACCGAGTCAAGCTGGACGAGGCCTTTGAGTTTGTGAAGCAGAGGAGAAGCATCATCTCCCCCAACTTCAGCTTCATGGGCCAGCTGCTGCAGTTTGAGTCCCAGGTCCTGGCCCCACACTGCTCAGCAGAGGCCGGGAGCCCCGCCATGGCTGTGCTCGACCGCGGCGCCTCCACCACCACTGTCTTCAACTTCCCCGTCTCCATCCCCGTCCACCCCACGAACAGTGCGCTGAGCTACCTTCAGAGCCCCATCACGACCTCTCCTAGCTGCTGAAAGGCCACGGGAGGTGATCTTCACAACCCGCCGGGACTCCAGGCTCCTTGAAAGGAAAAAATGCAATAACTCCAGGGAAGGGGGCTCGCGAGGACTGGCCCTTATTTATTTAACTTCACCCGAGTTTCCACTGGGTTCCTGAGCAGTCGTAGTGATGACTTAGCGCCAAGACATTTGCTGAACTCAGCACATCCGGGACCAACATACAGTGGGTACATCAAGTCTCTCTGAGAAAAAGGGGCAGGAGAGAGAGGACTCCGAGTGAGAGCCGGTTTCCTTTTGCCTATCCCTGTTTTTTGAAGGAACTTTCCATGCTTGACATGCCTACCAGTGTTACCATTCCTGACGATGCATATACATATGAGAATATACCTTATTTTATTTATTTTTGTGTAGGTCGTCTGCCTTCACAAACGTCAGTGTCTACTCCCAGAAGAACCAAATACCTCAATTTTTGTGTTTTTTGAGTACTGTAATATCCTGTACATATGTCCGAAGCAGGTTTGTTTTCAGCACTGGAGAACACCAGTGTTGGGTTTTGTTTTGTTTTTTAAGTTGCCAACAGTTGTATGTTTGCTGATTATTTATGACCTCAAATAATATATTTCTTCTTCTAAGAAGACATTTTGTTACTTACATAAGGATGACTTTTTTATACAACAGAATAAATTATGGTCTTTCTATTGAAATCTCAGTGCTTTATTTCTTGGGCAGTCCCACTGATCCTTCACCCATCACTGAAACAGGGGAGGACAAGGGTGTCCAGAATGTATTGGCATCTGATCCCATACTCCTTGGTGGCCCCTCGGTCCCCCAAGATGGCTGGGTTGTAAGGAAGGTAGAGAAGTGTGATCTATCATAAAACAAAATCAAACCAAAAAAATACAAGTGCTGGAGCTGAAATCTTACTGTTGGGTCCAGGTGTATCTCCCAATATGTCAACCAGTGAGCTCGAGTGTCTGCAGAGCCAAAGCTAGGAAGAAATGCCCACTTGCTTCATTGCCTTTTTCATTTGCTGTCTTCCCCAGGATAATGTAAAGCCTTCCCTCTCTGAGGTGTGCTAGAGTGATGAGGGTGATGGTTTCCCAACACATTTGCCACAAATGTGTCTCTACTATGTGTAAGGCAGAGTGTGCTACCTGCCCTCAGAACAGCTCAGCGAGATCTGCAAATGAAGATGCTGCGACCAGCATAGCTAAGCGGTAGGAGTGGGGAAACTGGGTCCTATTCCCTTATCTGTTTGGTCTCCTAATACCATGGGCTTTGTGCTTTATCACTTGCTTCTCACATGCTCTTTTTTTTTTTTTTTTTGTCTTTGAAAGACCTTTATTTTTGTGAAAAGAAATACTAAGCACCATAAGCAAGTACAAAGTAGACAAATCACTTAATCCCTGCCCCCTAGCCTGACCATAACTACTGTTTTGGAGCACCTTCCCTTGGGCATCTCTGCATATGTGCACAGCATTTTTGGTGGCTGCCTCCTTCAGGTCACTTGCAGCCCTGATTTCATTTTTTTTTTGAAGAAGGTAGGCAATTAAATCTGACTTGCTCTAGGGCAGTATTCTGAATTTTTACTCTGCCTTGCCAAACAGGTCAGAACAGAAGGTGTAACTGACTACCAACCTGTAATCCAACCTTTACTGCTGAATTAAATAACAGTGAAGTTCCTGGGCTGCTGGCCCCTTAGCTCTTGCACTCCTTGCTTGCTTCTGGACAAAGTGCTGTGGGAAGCAGAAAAGCAAGCATCGAACTTTACTTCTCCAGGGCTGTCCTGAATAGCGGTTCTGGTCCAGCCCCATTGTTCAAGGCCTTGAAACAGAATCGGCGTCCTTGACATTTCCCCGCTGGTCCACCATCTGCCACCTGACTCCCAGGGCCTGAAAGATCCCTGTGTTCTATGTTCTAAGAACTTAACCCAGGGCTGGCAAGTTCATTTCCTCTGCTGGGCTTCTGATTACAAGTGTGTTCACGCCTTTCAAAACAAACCATACCCAGTGTTTTTTATCAAACCCCAGAAATTATCTATTGCAAGTATCTCCCTTCGTGGAAAGGTACCAGTGACTTCAAGTCCGTGGCAGATGCCATGGGTGACTTCCCCGTGGGCTCGGGCCATCACTTTCTGCTTGGCAGGCCCTGGCTGAACCAAAATTAATCTCCATTGTGATCCACGCAGTGGAAAAATACAGCAGCTGCCTAAGGGAGCCAACAGTGAAAACAATTCACTCACTTGTCCCAGCACAAGCCACTTAACCTCCCGCCGGCCCAGGAGAGCCAGGGTGATAACCTCTCCTCTCCATGGATCCAATTGCTGGTCTTCAGGCCCTCCAGAAAATGTCACTTTTGGCCTGAGACTACTTTTCTTAGGAAGTAGAAAATGTACCTTGAGATGAGAAGACGTTTAAACTATTAAAATATTTGTTCCTCAGTTAGAAGCTTGACAACTCAGTCATTTAATACTGATAATGTAATTACAGCTGTTTTAGAACTAGTGCCCTGTGCCAGCCACTGGACCAACTGCTTTCCATAGGATCAATTTCAACCTTTAAAACAACACCCATTTTACAGAGGAGGAAACTGAGGCCCAGAGATGTAAAGCAACAGCCGTCTAATTGCAGCCCAAGGTCATACAGATACAGCAGGTAAACAGCATTGCAGAGATGGCAACCTGGGTCTGTGAGAAGATGGGGGACCGAAGCCCTAATTCAGTCCAGAAGACAGCTTGTGGGAGTAGAGATGAGTTTGGTAGCCAACCAGATGTCACCACGTTTTTATGGGTTTTACCCCATATCAGGGTGGAAAAGCTATTTGTCCCTTTGCGCCTCACTTTCCTCTTCTGTAAAATAAAGATAAGACCTGCTTCACTTGTGAGGAGGAAAGGGGCTCATGAATGGAAAAGTTCCTGGCAGGTTGTGGCCCTGAAGAAACATTGAGATTTCTTTCCCCTCTCCCAATGACCTCTCTTGGGTCTCAGGTTTCCAACCCATAAAAATCACCAGTTTGCACTGGATCTAATGGGTAAGCTTCCTCCCGGCCCTCTAATTCTAGGATGTACAAAATGCATCAATCCATACTTTATGCTTTTCTGTGGTTTCCAGGCACCCGTTATTCCATTAGGATACTTCCAACCCCAAAGCCTTCCCCTGCATCCTCTCCTTTCTTTGGAACTTTGCGAATCGCATCTAATTTGCCTCGGACTTGCAGCCTCCGGCGTCCACTTCCCTCCCTTTCTCACCTAGCCCCTGAAGGATGACATCATGGCGTGTACACCTTTAAGATTATATAAATCTGTGATCAAAAAGTGGCCTCCATCCCCATGGAAACGCGGAGGAGTTTCCCTTTTGTGAGGAAAGCTGTCATGTCACTTCCTGCTGCTGACAAATCAGTTTAGGAGATTAAAATAAAGGGGGGGGGCAGGGTGCGGGAGGCGGCCTCTGAGAACTGCTGGCTCCGGTGGTTTCTGGTTGCCATACACAGAGGCAAACAAAGCCGAGGCCACGCGGGGTGGCCCCGCCCAGCGCCAGGCTCCGAGCTCAGGTTTCCCACACCTCACTGGGTGGATCCAGGTCACCTGGGGCTGTTTTTCTCCGCAGGTTGCATTCTGGGGAGCAGGTGGGAGGGGCTGCCCACTTTTAGGGACTTTCCTCAGGGCTCTGCAGAACAAATCTGTTGGAGAACAGCTTCTGTGTCCAGCGAAGCCTCTGCTCTCTTTTATCAACTGGGAAGATGTCTTCATCCGCCCGAGAACAAAGGGTCTGCACGTTACTAGTGCCACTGTGCGCACAACTGCGCTCTGCTAAGGGAAATACGGTAGAACCATTTTTTTCTTGACTGTGGCTTTTAGGCTAAGCAACAGTCCATTCATTCATTCATTCAACAAACATTTATTGACTCTATAGACCCAGGGATGCTTCGGTGTTAGACAAAGTTTCTACTCTCAAGCAGCTAATAATGGTGGTGTTGGGGTGTGTAAGCAAATAAGATAATTAAGAAACAAGATAAGGATGAAGGCTCCGTAGGTGGGATATTAAAAGGAGGTGGGGGGTGGGGGGAGCTCATTTAGATTTTGGTGGTCACAGAGGCAAAGCTAAGACCTGAATGATACAACCCAGTTCTCCATTTGAGAGGTAAGAAGGGAAGAGGGTTCCAGGCCAGGAGGGAAGTAGAGACCTGAAGTCTGAGAGGGATCTTTGTGGACTGGTAGACAGAGTACTTGACTTGGAGCCAGCTAGACCTGAGTTCAAGGCCTGCTTCTGCCACTTGTTAGCTGTGTGGCTTGCTGTGGATAAGTTACCAAACTCTTTAAGCTTCAGTTTACCCATCTGTAACATAGGCCAATAACCTCTGATCTTCAAAGGCTGTTTAAGGATTAAATGAAAGGCAGTCACCTCTGGGTGCCTCAGAGAAGCTTGGGAAAGGCTCATTGTCCTCTGGTGACTCAGTTGGTTCTCATTCTGTCCCCATTCTGTCACTTGAGCAACAGCACCCCTCCCCAGAGTGTCCTCTGGGACAGGGAACCAGGGAGAATGTCTTGCCCCATCTCTGGGCCCCGGGACTTAGCCTAGGGTTTAGGGAGCAGCAGGTACTCATACTTGTCTTCTGAATAAAGGATGGAGTGACTAACCCCTAGAAAGTGCTTAGTAGATGTTCAAGCAACACCAAAAAATTATGAGATTTTGTTCCAAAAGCCTGGGGCAAAACTGATGAACAACTCAGATCTGTATTACCTTGGGTAGATTACTTCTCCACTCAAAGCCTCAGTTTTCATATCTCTAGAAAAGGAGTGATGAAAGTATTTGCTTTACGTGGTAGTTGTTACTAGTAAATAATGTACATAAAATATTTTTTGCACAGTATTCAAAACACAGTAAACTAAATGTTAACCATTTTAACCACAACTATCATCATCATCACCACGACCGCCACCATCATCATCATAAAGGAAAGATGAAAATAGGGAAACAAATGTATGTTGATAGCTAGCAAATTTTAATCTTTAGCCCAGACCTCTCCCCTAACTGCAGGCTTGTATATCCATTGACATACCCATTTCTTTGTCAAATAGACTTCCAAATTTGGCAGTTTCAAAGACCTTTGAGTTACCCCCAAACCAGCTCCTTTGGTCTCTTGCCATCTTTGTTAATGGCAACTTCATTCTTTTGTTAGCTCATCTCAAAAACCTTGGAGCCATCCTTGACTCCTCTCATTTTTCTCATAACCTGTATTTGATTCATCAGCAAGTTGAGACAGGTCCCTTTTCAAAACATACCCACTCCTCCTCACTTCCGAAACTGCGTCTCTGGTCCAGCCACCATGGGATGTTGCCTGTGTTACTGTTGTAACCTCATGGTGGTTCTCGTTGTTTCTGCTCTGTCTCTCTCAGTCTATTCTCATCCAGAAGCCAAAGCCATCCTTTTTAGCGTTGCCTCTAGTACACATCTCATGATGACAAGTTCAATTTTTGCTTCCCTACAAATTATTTTTTAATTTACTTTCATCCCTGGAAAAATGTTGTCACTGGGCAAAAAATTCTAGTTTCAACCTTATTTCTTTAACCATTTTGAAGACATATTCCATTGTCTTCTGAATTCTGTTGTGTCTTTTGAGAAGTTAGCTTACTAACGTAATGTTGTCCTTCTGAGGGTAATCTGTCTTTTTTTCTCTGGCTGCTTTGGATTTTCTCTTTCTCTTT